GAATCGCAAATCTCTCCACAGTTGCGGATAAAGTGTAAAATGATAAGACGCAAAAAGAGTGAGAGAAACTCTAAATTGAGCTTCTTGCTCTGAATGCGGCGCATCCTTGGACTCTTTTGCATGCGAAACGATCCCTTTTTTGCTGGACGAGCGCTCGAAAACGTGCTCTTGCCAATTAGTGAAATGCGACTTTGTCGAGCACGAAGGATGCCATAAGATGCAAAATTGGGTGAATAATTGCGAAATGCAGAGCACTGCAGATGGTGGAATTTTAGCCATTCCGTTAACCCTGCGGGGCGTTTGTGTTTAGCTTGGCATTTACCAAGTGGTCTTCCACTGTGTCAGAGTGTATCGGACTGCCGAGGTCCTTTTGTATCATAGAGCAGCTCTTGAGTCTCACATTTCAGCTCTCGCTCCAGTGAATAATCTCCTCCTTGAAGACTCAACGAGACGAGCTGTGATTATCCATCTCGAAAGCACATGATTTCATTTGAGAAACTCTGCAAATTTCACCCGAGATTTCGATTTTACACCCCAGATGTATAATTAAATTGCTTCACACCCCGCACAGAGTGCATAATTTGGAGTTTTATCCCAGGGGAATAATTAAATATAGCCATTTGTGCCACAGACTCCGAACACGTGCACACAGTCTCTTTGTCGTTGAGGTCGCAATGGTCACGCAGACACAAGTTGAATTAGTTGTGTTCAATTAATTCACTTCCCCTGAATTATTCAACGAACCTAAGTAAACATCCTATTTGGCAAATAGTTTCATCAAGTGTAGTTTCAAATGCGAAATTGCTTTTAGAGCACTCAATGGCACTGAATGGATGGATGAAAGGAAAACCTCCTCGGAAATAGCACCAATTCCATTTTATTATTGTACGAAAAGTTAGATTATCTACAACATACTTCCCGGAATCTTCAGGATGACAATTAAATGCCAGGAAGTGTTTCCCCAGCCATTGTTTGGCGAACACTAAAGGCTTTCGAGTGGTTCATTTATATTGATGAATTTCCCTTCTGCATGTCAACCTAATCTGCTTCCATTACAGAAGTCAGCGTCTCTCCGTGGGAATTGAAAGTTGGATTAAGTGACACAATCATACTTATGTAATGTTTGAATTGGAGATTAACCTTACAAACATTGTTATTTAATAATATGACAACCTTTGATTCACTTTAAATGTGAATTCAAAGAAATTACAATGTTCCCAAACATCCTTTGGGATTGTTATTATAAATGAATTAACATCAAAATATAAATAAAGAATGCAAACAATGTCCAGAATAATATCTACCTACATTATTTGTGAAATATTTGATTGGGAAAAATCGTTTCCTCACGACGATGAGATTCATTGAATGAGAGTAAATTTGGAAAATTGTTGGAGGAATTTCCGGGAAATTATTATAAATATGTATGTACAAATGAAAACCCACAAGCATTTCGACGTTTTCTGGGAAATCCATCTTTGAAAAGCGTCTTAGGAATTTTTTCAAATTCAGACCTTGAGTTGTGCTCAACATAATTTTCACCTTTAAATGGATGAAGCGATGCGTTTTTACTCGTTTTCCGGCATCCGACAATTAAAAGGTGGCCGAAGTTGAGGAATTCCGCCTGAATTTCTGTTTGCCTACAGTCGTAAAATATAAAAGGGCTCTAAATGTAAATGCCGAGGGCGTTAAGGGTGCCGAAGCGTGTGTGTGTGAGAAAACATGCAATTATTTCATGCCCTCCCCAAACGCACCGGGATTCCAATTCGCCAACGTGACCAGGTGAAGAGTGCGCGAAATGTTAATGAGGGGATGATCTGGTCAAGAGCGGATCTTTCGCCACTCTCCAGCTGTAGCAATTAATACGTTCGCCACGCGCTCATTCATAAAGCGCTCCCTCCCCTGCGGAGAAAGCTCGCGCGAGAGAGTGAAAGCTCCGGAGCTTTCTCTCCCGCTGGCAAGCGTTGAACTCGAGGCACGAGTCTGCACGGAGCATTATCAGTTGCCGCTGAATTCTTGCGCTGGTCGGTGGTGTCCTGGCACGCCATCGTCCTCCAGCGCGCTGGTGCTTCTTCCATCAGTGCTGGGCCGATGCTCGACAGTCTGTCGCGGAACTCTGCCCGGTGAGGTTGTGACATTGTGCGTGCGTGCGACCTCAGGCGAGAATCTCGAGCGCAGAGTGAAGTTGTGGAGCTCAGCTAATGCCTCTGGTGGGGATCTGATGGAATTTCCGAGGGTGAAGGGCGATGAATGGCAATCCCAATAATCATAATCCGTCCTGGTTATCCGGCAATTTCCCACAGGCGATTGATGGGCGCGCTCAAGGGTTGGAGAGAGAAAGAGGAAATTTGCCAGAATTGAGGGAAAAACATCATCTCACATGGGGTCTTCTGATGAAAGTGGACACAAAAGGTTAATCAGGGCGTTGTGGATTCATCCCCTCGCGCTCATCCTCATAAAACTCACAACCACAGTCCATCGACACTTATTTTCTTGTCATCGTATCTCTCTTGTTCGGCCTTTTTACTCGCACCATCATCACAGCCAAACCCCTTTTTCCGCACAGCGTGGAGAGTCTTTCGTCGCCTCGAGGGCAAACAATGAGGAAGGATGCGTGAAGAGTGGGCGGCACAGCAGCCCCCCATGAAGATACACACCAAAGAAGAATGAGAGGACAATGCTCGAGGGCTTTCCGAGACACTCCTTCTCGGAAACCCTTTCTCGTCATTCTCACCCGCTCGTAATGTGGCGCGTGGATGCATTTCCGAGGCTCTTTCAGCTTCCATTCCGATCGGATTCCGCTCATGAGGGACTTTCATTGTGTGCTGGATTAGAAAATGTGCGGAAAAGCGTCAGAGTGTGATCAAATATGTGTCGGAGAGTTGCCAAAAAATTGCAAAAGGAAAGGGGCAAAGAAACCAAATTCAGTGCAAAAGATGGAAATATCAAAGGAAAAATGTGTATTTCCACCCTTATCAATGCGAAGTGCTTTTATCTATTTGGAGAAATTTGTTTAGTGGAAAAACTCTATCGCTCAGCACTCTTTTTCTCTATGGAAATATTCAATTTCCCGTGAATTTGCCAATTTCAGCAATTCCACTCGACCATCGCGCGTGGACTGAGAAATTCGTGGTAAAAAATTGCAGAGAGTGTTTCAAATACCATCCCATATATTTCAAGTCTTCAAGTTTGTTGTTCTTTTTCCTCCTCTCAAGCCAAGAATTCCTCTCTGATACTCTGTGAAATTCCTAGTGAGAAAAGCATTTTGCTTAAGAGGAAATTCTTCGTCAAACTCCCACCGGGCTTCGCTTTAACTGGCAGACAGAATATTGAATTCATCCGATGCCCAGGAAGCCAAGGAAGCGACTAATCGAGGGACTTTCCTAGTGATCGTAACGAGTTAGTGAGTCACAAGATTCCGATGCATACTTAATGATTCTCCGACTGCACAACAAAGTCAATTACAGTTGCAATTTAATATTGCATGATGAGTTGGGAGAAATCTAATTTCCTCTCTCGCCCAGCATCCACTGTTTCCCCCCATTACATACTCCTCTTCGTTAACTCAATTTACGCAGACATTGCACAGCCGAGAATCCCCAACGAGGTGCTTTCATTCACACCCATAGTCTCATATTTCGTGAGGCAGGCGCTTCAAGTTGAGGAGTGTGCAGCGACACGAAAACACGGTTTTGGCATTACCAGGCTAGAGAGCTTATTCCTCTGACAGTGACTAATTGCATGAGGAGGCACGGGTGACCTGCAAATCATTAGCAAAGACGCTGCAGAACTTGCAGTGAAACTTAAGAGGGACTGTTTAAATTTTTAACCCAGATCAATTAGAGAATGGAAGACACACTGGCTAAGCGCTCACTTTGCACAAGTAAATTGGCATTTGAAATGCATCGATTTGCTGTAGAATTGTAAGCTTCTCTCGTGTGATGAACTTCCGCGCAATTGATGCAAATGTGGCCGAATTATTGGCATCACTGGCATCACTACCTGACCAGCAACAATGCAATTAAATTCAAACTCTTTAGTGTGTGCAATGATAGAGTCGAATTGCCGTTTGTTTCTCTTCTTGTGCACTCAATTTCAATATTCGGTGCGGTGGCGACAGACGTGTCTTTCATCCATTATATCCCACTCACACCCATCGAAGCGTCTTCGGCAATTGATGTCACGAGGATATTGCACAGTTCTCAGTCTTCCTCTCTGTGATAAATGTAGTCAATCGATTGTAGGGGAGAATGGAAGAGAACAGAGATCAGAGATATAGGTTTCACCTCACTCAGAGAGGGAAGAAGCTGTAAAGTTTTATTTGTACTCCATCTTTGCTGACTCTAATCTACCATTGTTGCTGCCACACTGAAATATTATCTTTATTGTGTAAAATGAACTGTAAAATCGTAAAATTCAAATTTCTTTTCATTCCCGCTTTCCCCCGGCGAAGCCATGACGCAAAATTTTCCACCAAAATTGTAAATCAACAATTTTAGGGTTGCCTAAGAGTTGCTCCAGAGGCGAGAGTGAGAGTGAAATGATTGCTGTATCGCGATGGGTGGCACAATGCCGAAGCATTAGTGACGATGTATGGGAAAAGTTGTGTTCAGTAGTGACCTAAAACTCCATATGATGAATAATGTGCTTTCATGTTAGGAAAGTGAGAATAAAAGTTGTGTGCGTGCATTTGATCGACTGAGAAAGTGAGCTATTAAGGGGGTGTCATGCTGCGGAATCGCCTCATCTGGTGGTTTATGCACTGCCTCGCTGTCCTGGACGCCCTGCACGCGTCCGACTTGAGCCATCACGGCCACACGCGCTCCCGCCACTCCCTCAAATCCACCCACAGCCGGCGCTCCGTGCGGCGGCTGCCGCAGAACGCGTCGGCCGAGCTGGAGGCCACCGTGCAGTTCCCCGAGATCCTGAGCGCCGAGAGCGGCCAGTGGGTGAGTGAGGGCGAGGAGCACATCCAGACGCCCCATCATAGACACCACAAGATGGACAAAATTAAGTTGTTCAAGTTGTCGCGCAAGAACCTCCCCAACTCGCCCGTCTTCACCGTGGGCAAGAGCCACAGATCCGGACACCGCGGCGCTGGCAAGGCGCCCTCAAAGGCCAACCACACGAGTCGCGGGCTGAAGAGGAAGCGCGAGCACGGCGAGCATCATCATCGACCAAGCAATTTGGCCCTCGAAGCCATGTTCTATCAATCAGACTCATCTTCGTGGGACAATGAGGAGCGCTTTCGAGAGTCTGAGTCAAGTGCAGGCTCAGCTATCGCCGTCAACACCACCGTCGCGACGGAGGCGCCCACGGAGGCCACAACGAAAGCGGCGCAGCGAAACAATCGACTTGTCAACTCATCATCAGCAGATTTCAGACAATACGACGAGGTGGGCGGTGAGGCGGACGTGCCCGGGCTCTTCAGCCCCAGCGGCCTGTACTCGGATGATGAGGCGCCCGAAGAGGCGGACGACGGCCAGCCGGAGAGCGTCCTGGCTGAGTGGGGCCACGAGCTGATCGAGGAGGAGCAGATGCAGTTCGACGAGACCACGCGCAACAACAGGCTGAATCTCATGAAGGGGCGCGACGTGGTCACGCGCTTCCTGCAGATCGTGGAGAGCCAGCATCTGTTAGGCGCCAACTGCACCGCCGGCACGGCGCTGAACCTAGGCGAGGGCGTGGTGGACCGCTACGCCCAGGACAGGTTCCGGATCGAGGCGGAGGTGGCCGTCAATAGGGCAAACATGCTCACCAGGTGAGTCTCATTGGAGCCTCAAGCAATCTATCACAGGATCCCTCAAGGGCAGGGTGAGTTAAAGGGTAAAATGTACACCACAAAGGGGAAGATTATTCCGCCTCAGTGCTCTAGACTGATAAGAAGACTGGCACAAATCCTTGACTTTGGTAATATTCTCATTGTCCCTTAAGGATTTTTCTAGAAACAGTCTTGCTTTTCTAGCATGTGGGATGCAGAAAATGTATTTAGAACATGTAAAGCGCGTAAAGCTCACTCAGTCTACGCTTAATTGAAAGCAAATATTTGGCGAAAAACTTTGGACCAGCTACAGCGTACACCAATTCCGTTGTGCGTCCTTCCCTTGAGTGTTGATTTACCCGCGAGGGAAATCCATTGATACAGCTTTCCGGGCTAGAATGGATTTTCACTTTCTCATTGTCACACATTTGCCCTTTGTCCACGAGGCATGTCCTGGTCGTATCTCCTGTGAAATCCCACACAAGAACAGGTCACTTCATCGACTTGTCACGCCATTGGGTGGGCTTTTCCGATGATTTCACATCGGCCTCAATAGCTCGTGCGGCGAACAATGCAATTCGCACGGGGAGTGAGTTATCGTTGTGCGAGTGGGCGAAAAAGGGTCTGTGTGCATGTCGAATAATTAAATTCTTCACTGGGACAATGCGTGCCGGGACCGGAAATTAAATGGGTAAAGCATATACTTTTGATTAATTCAGCGCGTTCTCTGGGTGTGAGAAAACATAACTTTGTGGTGCTCATTAGTCCGAGGATGTTTGCGTAAAGTTTATACAGAGTCCTAAAATGGTGCGCGCCTTTAGAAAGGTTTTTCCCTCCTCATTTCCCCTCTTAACATTTTATGGGCGACGCAGAATGTAGTCCAGAGAAAATATTGACAATCTCCAAATGGAAAAAAGTTTCCTCCTAAGTGCAAGATAAATCCCATTGTAATCACTTGGGGAGATGCTGTAGATAAGCGAAAATGGGGCCACGAAGAGGACACACTTTTATATTTTCCGCCCGAAGAGGAATGTTTGTCTTTAATGGGTTAATCACTTTATCGCTCACGAAGCTGGCGGAAGTGACGCGAGAATGGGAATAATATTCGCTTTAATGCTGGGGAATTTCTGCCATAATTATTGCCACTGGCCCGGAAAGCAAACAGACACACAATCACGGAATTCTCCTTTGGAGATTAGCGCGAGATGATGCTCTGTTGATTAAAAAGCGTCCTCCAATGCAAACACACTTAACCGTCTGCTGGGCCTCGCGGGAATTGTGATGCCGCCTCATAAATTGACTGAGAGGAAGATGTTCTCATGCATTTTTCATTAGCCATGAAAAAATGTGTGCGCCTTTGAGCGTAGATATTAGAGGCGAGTGTTGAAGTAAGGACCCATGAATAAATTTATGGACTGCATAAATTCATTGACTAATTTTCTGGAGGAGCTTAAAAAGTGTAAATTCCATGTCAGGTGTCGAGGGTGTGTTGTAAATTTTCAACATTTGATTTTTTTGCACGCCCTCATGTCACACATTAATCAAAAGTTGCTCTGTGAATTTTTCAAATTCCGCGCCTCAACACTAAAAAGGTAGGCTGGGTGTGAAAGCTTCCTCTCTCTCGCTCTCCGCAACTCTGAAATCCAATTAAGCAGCACTTTTTCTCACCCACAGCCATTAAATCAAATGTGGATTTTGAGAGAAAGTTTTCCCTATTTTATTCATTTTGCCGCGTTGGAAAAATTGCCCTCTCACACTCCTCCGGGAAACTTCAATGGGCTTTCCATCGATGGAAGCTTCTTCCGGGGCTTGAGCATCGCGCGGGATTTATTGCACGCGAGATTCACGGGCGCGCAGATCCTCAAGAAATCCATAAATAATGGGGCGCATCGCCTGTCGCGTGGAGATTTTTTTTGCCATGCGGAATATCCTCAGGAAAAAAATACGCGGTATTTATCATGATGGAGAGGAAAACTTTCACTCCCGCCATCGCTCACTTGCAGGTGTTTCGAGGATTTGCCCGCCAAAGCTCCGCTGATGCAGTTCGCACACACCATTGGTTTTTATTCATTCGCCAGAACTTTGCGTATTTGCTGATGTCAAAACAAATTTAGAGTGCTTTATTTTAGAAGGCTTTTTCCAAATTAAAAAAAAACCTTATCCATGTTTAAATCTTTTGCTGTGCAAATACTTCAAAAATAACACAGCATTGAACATAAAATTGTTTTTTCGAGATATTCACATAATTCAGGTCAATTCGTGATGATCAATGATAATATAATGCAAATAAAAACATGATTTTTAATTAAATTCCCACCAAAAATTTCTTTCTGAAAGGCGTTCATTTATTATAAATTGCAATTAATATTCATTTCATCACGAAGTGTGAAAATTGGTTTAATTTTAGCATATATTTTCACATATTTGTCAAAAAAATCCATTCATGCAATTACATTCGTGTGATTTCAGGTGTCAACATAGCATCAACATTAAAAAATTGGTCACAACAGCATGAATTTTCTATATGTTTATTATAATTGGTCTGACGTTGCAATGCAATTTATTCACTGCTAATTGCATTGTTTGACGAACGATTCGAGTGGCTGTTTTCCTCTCAGTGCGCGAAGGCGAGTCTGGGCAGGAAAGGGTAATTAGCAGTGGGATATCTTGCCAGGAAGGCCATTGAGCTCACTGTGATAAGTGTGTGTCATGTGATGAATTGAGCGCTGCGAGAGGGACTTTTGTCACTCTTCTAGAATAGAGACACTTTGCCGGCTGATAAGCTTCAGGCTGTAATTCACAGCATTGACGACTGCCAGGTTCCATTTTGCCAGGGACACTTTTCAGCATGTTTATGGCGCAGTGTTCTCTATAATGTGATGAAAATTTCGAGAATGACGGGGTTGAATGGTGTCGTTAAGAATTATCACCACACACCCACGAAAATCCCGACTTGGGGCGAATAAATGGAATTTCATGCCTCCCCAGAGAAACCATAGTTGCTGCTTAATGGACTAAGCCCGGATTCTGCCTCTTTTTCCGCTCCAGGATTTTTAAATTAACCCTGCCAGCCGTTCAGGAGTCCGAGCATCTGCTTCACGCCTCCGTGCTCTCGATGGTGGAGTTCGACGATGACATCTTCGCGGCGGGAAATTGCTTCGACTGGAATCAGCACCCGGCCAAGAAGGGGCTCTTCTGCCCCTTCGCCTACCGCCTGCCGCCGCCCGACCAGGGCGCTTCGCTGGCGAAGGACCTCGCGGCGGAGTACCACTACCTGGGCAACACCTCGGAGTGGTTCTTCCTGGCGCGCAAGAACGCTGAGAAGGTCATCTCGCGGAACGAGCAGTACATCAAATGTGAGTATATTCTTGTGATTATATTTATGCTCTCCACCTTGACAATGTGGCTCAACAATCATCCTTTTTTGAGAGATTCTGTATCCAACTTAAAACGAAAAACAATCATTTTCCCGCTTTATAAGACTGAAATTATTTTAGATGAATCGGTGATGCATAAATTACGACGTGACTCACATTGGATATCTAATAAGCTACAAGTATACACTGAATAAGCTTCTGCTTCGCCAAACCGAGTGCTTTCTTGCCGTATTCTTAGCAGCTACTTAATGTGTGACTATTTGCAAGAAGAAGGTGTGAAAAATGACGCTTCCTTGCTTCTCAAGGATACTTGAAGATAAATAGCAATTAGTAAAATTCCGCCACATTTCCTCTCTCATTTTTACCCATTAGTCCTTATTTACTCTCGCCAGCTGTGAAATACGCTGATGGCATTAAAGTGCTGCAGAAGAGCGTCGTTCCTCGGCTTGGCATTGAGTCGCAAGTCACCATAAGTCTTGCGGTGAATCCGGAGGTGTGCGTGCATTAGCTGGGTGTGAAGTAATGTGAAATTTACCTGTTGATAGTCGCATGTTTAATCTGGCATTTATGCAAATTCTATAAAACACTGCCTTCCCGTTCCACGGCGTATCTTGAGGCCCCGTGAGACATTTCAGTTGAGAAATGGAGCCACTTGAGCGCGTCCTCGAGTCTTGGGGGAATTTTTCACTTTTCACCACCACTTTTGAGGGGGCGGCGAAGAAAAAAGATCTCGTGGTCGGGCGACATTGTTGGCGGAAAGTTTCCTGGGCGGGAAGTCATTGTTTCACATTGTTGTGACTCTGCAATAAAATGTTCACGAGAGTCAGCATTTTCGCCACGAAATTAAATTGGCTTGTCTTCTACTTTGCACTCGCCATGCAAATTGAAATAAATTGCCCAATGGAGGCCATAAAGAACATTTTATTGGAATCATTTCTGGCCATCGTGCATGACTTTCATCTCGCCTGTTTGCGCTCTTGCCGCAATCATTCAGCGAGGATGTTGACTTCCGAATGGACATTTATTGATTTTGTCCCCTGAATAATTAATTTTTGTTTATATACATATATTACGTCTCATGTGAGAAAAAATATCAAATAACTTGGCGCTCAGTGGCCCTTTATTTGGTGGAAAAACACAAAATTATACATTATACATATTTGGCGCTGGGAACATTCAATAACGACCTGAAGGAAAGACTGCGAAAAGATGTGCGCCAAAAGGAAGCGAGAGAACAAAGAAAAGCACCAAATAATAAACTTTCTTGTATATGCATTAGAATATCTTTTAGGGCGTGTTTTCTTACTCGTGATTTCATTTTCCGGGAATGAAAGAGAACAGAAAAGTCTCTCGCTGCCCACAAAAGTCAGGGGCGAAGACAACACAATATATCCAATTTTTGGACACGAATATCATTATTTTTCACTGGGCAAAGGTTGGACTTTTGCCAGAAGTCATTTTGCTCCGTCCTCTCTTCGTGCTGTTCAATTTCTTGGGGCTACCTTCCATCTGAATATCCAAAAATTGGTTTTGAATATGGGATAAATTTCACTAAATCCCAGCTTAAAGGTCTTCTTAAACACGAAAAGAGCTTAAGCGCCTAAATTCGCAGAACTATACAAAAGTTTGCTACATCGCTTGAAAAATACCCCAACAAAGCCCACATTGAACCTTCCCCGCTGGTTAACAAAGCGAACGAAGCCTTATTATAAGTTTGCATCTTGTATCTCGTGTATAAAAGCGGAAATTCAGTGAAAAGGAAGAGCAAAATGAGATGCTAACACAGTGAAAAAAATACATAAACGCTGCAAGAAAAAAGTCAGCTCGAAAATATGCTGTAATCCGTGCTTGCAATTTTCTCGGGAAATTATTAAATCGCTAACCAATCTGTTGTGCATGGCAAGAAGTGTGTGTAGAAGCATCGGGACGATTTCAGGGTTGCGCGCGATGTCATGCTCTTGGACTATGAAACGAAGTCAAGTACCTTCGCTGCAAGTTAAATTAATTATCCTCTTAGAAAATTGATTCAAACTTTTTCAATTACGCTGAATTGCTCCTCAACCAGGGGTTTTTTGCCTTCAGGAGGAATGCTTTATTTAAAATTACAATGTGGCTCTGGGAGTGAATTGAGATTATGTCGCGAACAGAGTGCACAGAACAGAGTGTATTCGATTCAATGAGAATTATGTACAAAAAAAACCGGCAGGAATTAATTAATTCACCAATCAATGGGAATTCACTCATTGTTCAATAATTTAATGACGTCAAGCAGAAACAAGAGCAGGTTATTGTAATGAAGTTGCGAACAAAGTTTCTCTGCTTTTGTGTAAAATCTGTCAAAATTTATGCAATTCTAAATGGCAGTAAATGCGATGATTTCTCCGCTGGTGGAGGAAATTGCAATGAGGAAAATGTCCATCTGAGAACTTCCATTTCTCCAATTTTGTCCATTATATCACTAAACTTTCGAACCTTTCTCTGGATCTTGTCATGGGACTTTGAGCGGAAAGTTGGCAACAATCTTGTGCGACATGGAAAACTCATGCAACTCAATCATCAAGAGTTATTTCTTCTCGATAAATGCAAAAGTGTCATGCAGAGTGAAAAACATTATAAGATTTCCAACCTAACATGGCAAAATTCTTCGCACAGAACGCTGAATGTCTCTTGTTACAACTTGTTTACACGAAAGATGACGCGAAACTTTCCTCTGCGATACAAGATGAAATCCCTTATCAGATTCCTGCACAAACATGCCAATATTTATTAGCTCAACTTCATCACACAATCTGGGAAACCCTGCACTGAGGGAAAAACTTTGAGAAACATGATTATTAACTTTTGCTCTGTTCACCGCAAACTGCCATGATGGAGTTGCAGGCGTGATGCAATTATCTGTGCCTTCAGTGCCTCGTTGTCGTTTGGGAATATTGTGAGGAATATGGCGAGTTGTGTGCTTAATGAAAAATACACAAGTGCGCGAGATGAAATCCAGAGGAATTTGCGGTAAAACACTAATTTGTCAATCAACACTATCAGGCAATTTGATAGGAAAACACAGGAATTTTGAAGCACTATTCAATTCATAAATCATTTATTGAATGAATTTGAATTCATTGAAAAATACTCGTTTATTTCAAAGGAAAATGCGCTATCATAATTTGTGATCATAATTTGTGAAACACCATTCCTGAAATGCCCGTGGAAATGTGTGCAATATTAAGTATACTCTGTAATAATTATATTTGATATTGGAATCATAACAGCAGTTTTTTGCCTGTTCCTCGAATACGTACAGCCAAAATTCTGCACTGCTATTTCCCAGAATGAGTTGCAAATTAATATTTTTTAATTAAATTTCCTTGCCTCTCAGTTATATAAAAAAGGTATTACGAGTAAATTGGTTTTTTTGCGCGAAACTTGCATGTTGTACACAAAAGAGGGCTTCAAAGAGATGTTTAAACATTTTATTTTTTGAAGTGGAATATACTTTCAATTTAGTGCCAACAGCGTGCGGAATATTGTAATTGAGTTATGACAAATGTCAATTGCTGTGGTAGTTTCATTGAAGCCAATACGCGAAAGTTGAGCTGCAAATATGGCAAATTGACCTGTGATGCAAAAGGCGATGGTGCGGAATTAAGGGTAAATATGCAGCCACAATTTGTGTATGTTGTGAAATTAAATATTTACATTACAAGTGCATTCCGCACAGACCCGGAATACTCTTGTCTCGTGTCCACTCTGTAATTTGCACCCCCGCAATTGAAGCCCAGCGCATATATTGATCGCTATCTCAGCATAATGCACTCGGGCATATGGGAAAATGCAATTGGTCTCGCCGTTTATTAGCCAGCTTTGCACCCTCAGAAGCTGATCCGGCCGAAAAAATTGGATGAATAAATAAAGCACAAGTGCTCATGAGCTTTCCACATATATTTTCAATTCTGCCGCTCATATTTGCTGGGCAGCCGCCAAAAAAGCGCCACTGCCGTGTATTTTCATTACACATATTTGCATACTTTATCATTCACATGAATGAACCCCTAATTGAATTTGTAAGCCTCACATCTCACCTGATATTCTGTTTAATTTTCTCCCTGTTTTCGGACCATCAAAAAAAAACTCAACACGAAAATTGGACAGAGCAAAAAATTCCCACAATTTTCATACACACAAATTTAGAGACTGAACGAGTTAAGGATAAATTTGAATCCGTGTTGAGTGAAAATTAGCGTGTTTCTTGCGCGATTTGGCTGTTTTCACTGCAATGCATTGCCAAATCGACAAATTGGCTCACAAATTTCAATTTATGCGCTAAATGTGCTTGTAAATGCACTACATATCCATGGTAACAATTTCAATTACCTATCCAGCCAAAACACACACAATTTATTAAGCTCTCTCTCTCTCGTGTTACCGAACTTCCGCTGGTCATTTATGTTAATAAGTGCATTTCGCCCGTGGCCAGTATTCGGACATTGTAAAATTCTGCTAATCCATCAATTACTTTAAAATAAATTTGATTTATGAAACCGAATTCCGATGGAGTTTACAGTGTTGCGTTTTTAAAAATCCTCCAAATTCGTAGAATCGACTATAGAAACTAAAAATAAACAAACCCGGAGCAGAGAGGATGAAAGTTTTATTTTAGTGATACAGGATAGATTGAAATGGGAGGACTTCTCAGTGGACACACATTTCCTTATTTCAATTTTCTCCCCCACAAAGAAATTGGCAACATTTATCTATTTGATGCTACGCGTGCGGAAATTTTCATCCTTTGTTGAATTTATTTTGATTTATTTTATCACTCCTTGCGGTGAATCGGGCTTGATAAAAGGATCCTTTTCTTCGTCCAGGCAACGTCCCCCTCATTGTCCACACTGGTTATTTATTTGTGAAAATAAATGAGATATCTCTCGATACGTGATCATTCCTCAATCCACAATTGGATGACAAGAAATCCCCTTCTTAAGGCCGTGTGTAAGCGTCGCAACACGCACTCCGGGCGTCAAGGCGGAATGATTGCCTGGAGGATTGTACAAAAGGCTTGCATCAATCAAAGCGTCAAATTGGAGCTTTTGACGCTTTCAATTTACACATTTTGCCGATTAATTTGTATGCAATAATTTTGTGGTCACTGTGAATGGCATAATAAATCACATTAAAAATCGAAGCTTCTGTCATATATGATTTCAAAAGCTCAATATAATGCGACTGACGAATGATGCAACTAATTATTACATACATTCATTACAATTTTCACGAGTATGCATACAAGGAAAAATGTTTTCATACTCATGTTGATTTTCCTCAAGAGTCCACTTTATGAGAACCAACGGAAAAGAATAAACATCAGAAACAGTTTTGAAAGTAATGCATATGCAAATAATGTAAAAGTGGCAAATGATTTAAGGGAAAAAAGCGCAGGAAAATTATTTGAATTTCACTACTAAAGGCCACAGAATTGCCTCAGAAAAGAATTCAAGACAATCCCATTAAAGGCACCACAGTCTTAACGTGAGAATACGCATGAGTGCTTTAAGTTGATATGAGACATCTATTTTTACCTGGTTCTAATGATCTGCAAGTGATTGAACTCACCTTGCGCTCATTTGTGTGGCATTCCACGCTGGGAAGTTCAGTGGCGGTGGAAGAATGCTCATGGCTCGCCGAGGAATTTAATATGGAATACTTTAAATTGTACCTTTTCAGCTTACCACCTGTACTCGAACAGCTCGGATCGCGTGGCGGATGAAATCCTATCCGTGAAGTACGAGGACGGTCGCTGGTCGAAGCCGTACTACGACTGCGGAGGCGGCAATATATGGATGCTGACATACACAGTGCCGTTTTTCGGCTACGAGAACGGGACGTACTTTTTCAAGTGAGTTCACTCATAATTCCAGGTGCGCTGCCCACTTTTTCTGCCTGTTTTGGGTGGCGAAGCGGCGCGTGGGCGGGGAAAATTGGCAGAAAATGAGTGGCTGAGGTGGAAAAAAGGGCATTTATTTATCGTGTAGACGCACACGAAATTTTTCAGTCAATTTCTGCCTGCGACGACTATTCGACTGAGATGGGAGCTGCGTGCTCCGCATGGATAAGGGGTTGAATCCGAGAAATTGTTTATTTATATCACGATTTATTGTGAGTCACCACTACCCTGGCGTGGCTTAAATTCGCCATGTCTCCGCATCAGTCCCACGGGGGGCTCATGAGCAAACATTATAATGGACGATGACAGCGCTCAAGACAGCAATGCTATAAAAGAATCAAACGATGCTATTAAATATAGTTGACTGTATATTTTATTAACACCATTTCCCCATCGTAATCCAGAGAGATTACCATAAATAATATTCATGATACACCCTATCACACATCCTCGAGATGGCCCTCAATTCTACAGCACTTCCTCAAAACTTCCCGCGCAATTCGTGTGGGACGGAAATGTCTCAAATTCAACACTTTCGCACTGATTGCCTCACGCCGGGTGGATTTCCACCCATATCTTTCGTCGCAGTGTCAATTGCGCTAATTAAATGCTCGGAGCTTCGTTTAACTATTTTCCAATGAATTTCACCACTAAATCTCGTGCTCTTCAGCAATAAATATCTCCGAGCGCATCTATTTTGCACGTCAACTTAGCATTATTGTTCCAACACAGTGCTTAACAGGTCGCAGATTTCCACACTGGATTATGCTGAATTTCCATAGCAACAAAACTTCGTCATAACAAATTTAGATTATTGTTCTGTTCACTTCACCAACAGTAATTCAACTATATATTCGCCTGATCATTTCAAATATAGCATTGCACACAATAATAATCACGGATAAACTAAGAATCACAGAAAGTACATCATAATACAAAATCAATTGTATTTAAACTATCTCACCACTAGATGGTATTTAATGAATTGCATTGTTTAGCTCTTTGAAATATCATTGAATTAATTTAGGTGAATATGTTTGGATTTAAGCAACGCATTTACCAAATGGCGAAGATTATAAGGAATTTAATATCAAAGTGCCCTTTTCTCTATAACATAACACATATTCAATGCTGTCATTTAAAAGCCATTTGTGCGGAAAATTGATGTCATAAAGCTAACCCGTTTTCAGCTATTAAAGCTTCTATGAAAAATGTATGATTTAATTTTCTGATACACTATATATCGTGCATATTTAAAATGTACGTCAAATAAAGAGTTAATTAAGTAGGGAATTTTTGAACAACACTTCAATTATTTAAAAATTCTGCATTATACAAATACAACTCTCAATTATCTTGATCGTGCGGTTTATCAATTTATAATTTATGGGTTTCGGCTTTCAACTATGCTGAATATTGGTCGCAATAAATCATGAATAAATTATGTACATGTTCAAATCTAAAATCAATTCGCGCCATGAATATGCAAAATTCCAAGTTATCATCACTCATGTTGGCCCAAAGCGTTATCCATGCAGAAATTGCAATGCCTGAACGTGTTCTGTGAACTTTAAAAATACCGAGAGGATAAATTGAATTTGAAAAGAAGTTCTTCCAAGTCTCGCCTCGTTGGTAAACAATGACGTGCTTGCTTGGCTACACGCTTCGTCGTGCGAAAGTCCTTAAGAAAGAGAAAGAGCGAGCGAGAGAGTAATTTTTTTGTGATACACTTTCCCATGCAAAGAGAGCGAGACATGGAAATTTTATGAGTTTGCGAGATATGACAGAATACATCATTCTCGCTCACTGCTGGCTCCCACAAGCTTATGCACGCATCAATGGAGCAAATTCCCATTGAATCACTCTATCTTGAGTGTGACGAAGGGAAGCTGCCGAAAGCAAACTTTCACCCGCAAAGTGCGGAGGAAAGTCGCGGAAAATGCCTTTTTCCATCTACCACACAGCAACTCACGACCGTCAAAGGCTGTGGATATGAGTGCCTTGCCAGAAATTGATCACAATCGATGCCATTATTTCCTCAGTCGCCCCAAAAGGCATTTCTCAACATATTTTCCCACCCCTTTTCTCTCCACAGAGGCACTTCGGGCATAGATATCGATCTGCGGCGCGTCGACATCGATCAGTGTCCTCAAAGGATCTCCAGCTCCGGCGTCTCACTGCCCCTCAACATCTTCGCCGGCACGGACAAGTGCAAGGCTCGCACCACTGAGGTAAGGACGTATCAAAGAGAAAGAAAGAGTGCCATTGTTGGGCGGCGGAAGGGCATAATTAAATGAGAGAAACCTCGAAAGAAAGTCATGCTTTTGTTGTCATCATTCTTTTCATTCCTTTCACGGTCGAGTGGAACTCGACAGTGGAAAGAGTTGTGCGCCGGAAAGGCAAAAGGCTAAAAGAGAAACTTCCTATAACCCATCAAAGGGTTGGCAATTGAGGAGAATTATGATTTTTTCGGATTCTCAGAATTTCCCGGGCACAAGGAAACCTGTGACATTTACGATTTAATTAAAAAAAGAGCTTTTATAAGTCTGTATTGACATTTCAAAAGAATTAAGCTTTTCTCTCACACATTGTCAATAAAGGAATTTTTTCTCTTCCTTCAGTTCATTAATCAAAAATTTACTTTTCTACCATGAAACTTTTTGCTTCACCATAGTAAAATTGAGTTTCACGCTGACCTTTAAGCTAATCCGAGAAGCTACGAATTAATTAACAGAATCTCTAATTGAATATTTGCTCTTCCTAATTGCAATAATCTGAAAATTGTTACAAATTGTAGGAGTGTTTGCATTGTGCTGCGGTCAACGGAATTTCCAGGGATTTTCTGTCTGGTCGGCGCACACGTCGGTCGGAAGGAAGTCTCCAGGGCGCCATTGTTGCCCTCATTCTTGACCTGTTTGAAATTTTATCAAATAAACATAACAGAGAGTGAGGTGACGTTGATTGTGAGGTGGTGACACTACATAATGCACATCTCGGGATTGCGAGGTCTGAGTGTGGCGAAGCCCACCTGGGACTTTCCCACAAGATTGATTCCAAAATCCCACATTCATGAATATAGTTTGTGTCATGCCCTCTTCAATGATGAACTGCGCCCCACAAATTGCAAATCAGTCAATTTATCTCCGAGAGCATTCATCTTCCTTCACCCCAAGTCGTGTGTGTGTGTCATTTTGTATTCGCATTTCCCGAAAATTTGTTTTCCACCCTTCCCCAAAAATCACTCCTCGTGCCTCTTACAAGTGGGAGCACAAGAAATATTGGGTGCGGAGACGCATGGATGAGATTTACTAAATGTTTAATATTCAAATGTAAATTGTTCATGGCTTTTTTCTCCCTATCTTGTCCACGAGACGATGTGGGGATTGCGTTGTTTTTTATTCCCTCGTACGCCAAACCCCGGAAAGACAAATACAAATCATAAATTCACGATGATCTTTATTTTGTGCCATATTCATTGTAACACATTCAACACTCGACATCATCCACGCAGATTTCTTTTGCCAGGGCGATGGAGAATATATCAAAAATTCATGGCCCTCCTTCTGTGTTTTGTGTCTTTCAGTGCGAGGCGATTTCTGGCTTAGGATTCCGCCGTGGATCGTACAAATGTGTCTGCCGGCGAGGCTTTTACTTCCCAGACACCACTTCATCCCAGAAATATTTCAATGGCAGCACTCTCGAGGAGGAATATGAAAAATTGATGCTGGTAAGGATCTTTGTGTGCCTTTTTCTGCCTTCAAACTCACCTTTTCACTCCCATCGCGCGAATGCGCGGAGATTTTGAGGGTGTCTCCGCTTGTTATTCAACAATGAAATTCCATCAGACTCACATTAAGATTATTTGCCCTCTATCGCTTGCCACCCCCCGCCCTCGTGCAGGCACAACAATTAATTTATGTTAAGCACTGTGTAACATGAAATGCGATTGCTCAGTAAATTTGGGCTTTCAGGTATAAGAGGTGATAATAATAAATTATTAACGCGGTTCACAGTGTGAGAACATAAAACCACAATATCGTGCCATGGGAAAACTTACCATCAATCAGCTCAAGTGCTACTTTAAACACACTCAGCCCACGGGCGTAGGCTAAGTCGGGATCCCGGCGCAAATCTAGCCCGGGCAGAGCTCTAGTGTTTGAACAGGTGCCGAAGAGTCTTATTGAACTTTCTCTCGCGACAATTTCATTCCAGACACTCTGTGCCTCTGTGCAGACGATGAAATTGTTCCATGAATAAATTCTGAGGAATTAAATATTCATACAATGCTGGAGAGACAATTTTATTGTGTGTGCAATTTTTCAGCAATTCACAGTGTCGCACAGATTGAGAGGAAGGTGTAAACCAAGTGGTCTTCCAACTTACGGGGTTCTTAGGGAGGACTTTCACTTATGTCAGACATTCACCCTAATAAATTACAATTAACGTCATAATATCACACATATCTAATGTAATCTACCAATCTCAATGTCTATCTTTGAGATCCTGTACAAAAAAACGATTATTTTCGTGATAAATTGTAAAAGCTCAGGATATGTAAAAGAAGCGTGTCCTAAATTTCGCGAGCAATTCCATTCAACTTTCCATTTTGCATAGATTGTGATGAAATTTTCACTCAAATTAATCACAAGTCATGTAAGAATTTCCATTGAATGAATTTGACTTTACAATTTTCACGTGAAATTAAATTCTTGGGGACAAATGAGAAATTTGCACCTCTCGACACATTTTTTCACGCATCTTTTGAAAAGTCTCTCTGTCATTTCTTTGGCAAACACAATTCCACAAAATTCTCAAGTCGAAGCTATAAATCGAAATGTGTGTATCTCAATTGCAATATCGGAGGCGGTAAACATTTGAGCACGTTTTGGGCTTTCAGGAAAATGGAAAAACTCTCCCATTGTATTTCGGTTATCTTGGGGCGAAGATCTCGGCTGGAAGAGGGCGAAGTTGTCTGAAAATGTAGGATTTTAATTAGTAATGGGCATGTAAGACACAGTCAAGTGACTTTTGGCGGCAATAGACGCACTAATGGAGGCCAAAATGCGAGCGGGAGAAAGTTTTTCATGCGCCCAAATGAGGCCAAAAGGGAGCCGCCCATCATCCTCGAATGACTCTCAGAGGATGGCCCATTTAGCAGGGGGTGTGGAGGGGAGCGGAGAAAGTTTGCGCCAAAATGAGTTAGTTTGCGAAAAGTGCAACTTTCTTTTCAGCTGTGCGCGCTTCTTTTCACACAAATTCCACCCCGTGAAGCGCTCCACAAAGGAGCAAACTTGCGGAGAAGCTCACTCACTAATGGATTCCACCATCAAATCTCATGTCTCATTGTTGGTGATGGCTGAATGTGAGTCAGATGCAGAGTCTCCCTCGCTCTCTTCGCAACAATTAAACCTCATAGTGAGGTGAAACATAATTAAGGGATGCTATACTTTTCACTTCCAGTTTGCACAGCCAAGCAAAATGTGTGTATTCAAGCAAACATTGAAGCTAAGAAAGAAGGTTCATCGTGGCGAAATGGATGTTTGCAATTTGTAATGTTTATTTTGGCTGGATAAATTGTGCTTCTTCTCGCAACAATATATCACTGTTTGCACGTAATACACCGCCTCTATACAACAATGAGGTCCGCGTGTGTATTTGATACCCAATTTTCTCAAGCCGTTTTGCTTTGCATAAATCTATTACCGCTGGGGCCGAGACCTCTTCATTTCCATCCGGGCGGTGTTTCACTTGTATCATGCGAAAAAGAAATACATTATTCATGGCGCTCTGCTCATTTGGCGGCTGGGCAGAAACTAGGCGTGTGTGAAAGGGGTTCAGCGCTGCGGGGAGGCATGAAAATAAAAATGAAAATAATTTCTGCAGCGAATGCCAGAGATTCGGACACACGGCAAAAATATGATGTCACAGAGTCGCATGGGAGAAACGGTCAAATTTGCCTTTCCATCATCCTTTATCACCGTTTTCCTCCCGTGACGCTAATTAATACACGATGTAAGCCAAAAGAGAATGCGCTTTTTTCCCCATTACACACCATTTTTAGCAACATATCGTGCAGCGGAATAATGAAATAAAAATTTCCGACTCAGAGGCCAAATAAATATTCTTCCCCAGTTAACATAATAATATCACACATTGAGCCACTCTGTCAGGGAAAGGCACAAAAAAATCCTCTCTCTCTCCCATGCACACGAGGTGGAGAAAAAATTGGTTGAAGTTTTTCCACTGGGTGTTTGTCAATGTCACATGTTTGAATTTGAAGAGGGAAAAATTCGCAATTGTATTGCCAACAAGGGAGTTTCACACGCGTGTGGAAAAAGAGGAAAATCCAAAAGCCGAGGAATGGGTCGCTGAGCCTGGCAATGGTGAATGAAGAAGTCTGACAAACAACCGCGAAAGTCCTCACGAATTGCTCTGTAATATGTTGGGAAACATGCGTAAAACATACAAATGACACTCTCGCCCTCCATTGCCGCCCTTTTTATTTGCTCTCCTCAAACCCATCACCGCACAGATTTTAATGGGGATTCTGAGGTATAATTTCCTCCCACTTTTCTCTGCTTTCTCTGGCACTTCTGCTTCGCGATTTACCTGCAATCGACAGACGTCAGGGGAGAGAATTGAATGCGGAGAGCACAAATCATGTGACATTAATCAAAAAGCTCTGGTCAGATTCCAACTGGTAATCTACCTGAAATCTCGTCTATTGAAATCAAGCAATTCAGGCAGTATTTTAGAGTGTACGAAAGCCAGAGAATTGTGTGAGCTCACAATAGAATTTATCACATACGCAAAAATCCCAGTTCTATCATAAGGTAATTTACGGCAGGACTTAATAAAGTCTTCTCCATAGAATGTGCGCTACTGTGTTTCGTGAAAGTTTCAGGAAACTTTCTCCCTTCCTGGGAATCCTTGTGCAGGACTATAACTCATGGATATTTCTCTTCATGTTTGAATAATGCTAACGATCATTTTATATGCAAATTTCACCCATAAACCCCAACTATACAATTCTTGACATTTTTTTTAATATCCCTGTTAAAGTACAGAGGCAGTAAGTCAATTCGAAAGTTTTCGGTTTAAGCGCCCTCACCCTTAATGTGAAATCAATAAAGGGCGCTCTCGATATTTGCTGAAGAGCGGCAAAAAGGTTGCACACAAAATCATCTCACAATATTTCCGCCACCACAAATCATTGGCGGGAAATTCAGAAAATTCACTGGGCGAGATATTAAAATTCTCTGAGTGTTCTCTCGCTCTTGAAATTTATGGGGATGGTCAATTCGGATGATGTTTGCTGACGTGCAAAGACAAATGGCTGTTCGCGCGCATTTGACAAAGCCGCTTCGATTGAAATTGCCCTCGGGCTCTCGATGGCTTATGGCAATTCTCGTGGGTTCGTAATTAGACTTGGCAGATTTCCACCTTCCGCTGAGACTCCCGCACCCTCGGGAACACCATCGAGGATATTCTGCCAATAATGCGCAGTCAAAATTGGAATTTTTCCCCAAAGCCAGTCATTTAATATCTCGCTGTCCTTCATTTATCTTCCTTTCTGTGGCACTCATTCGCCTTTTTTCTTGCGCCGAGGAGAGAAAATGTATTTATCTAGCAATATTGGGTAGTCTTAATTAGAAGTTTCCCAGTGGTATTTTGAAAGGCGGAAGGAATGTATAAATGGCGTATTAATTCATGCTTCGGTGGATAATGATAATGAGGCACGAGAGTGAATGGGGATGTATTTTAATTAAGCTGATTTATTTCTATTCTTTGCAGGGCGAGAGCTCCATGTACAGAACTCGCCTGGCTTTCGAGTGCCTGCCATGTGCTGAAGGCTGTGATTCCTGCAAAGACTCCTCACCGTGTGTGGCTGCACTTAATTGGCCCATGAGAACGAGCATCCTCGTGATGGCGTGCGCAATTATTGGATTTCTGCCTCCGGCCGCCTTTTTCACATTCAAATACCAGCAAGTTAAGGTAAGGACTCTCCCTTATCCTCAGGACTCCTCCAGCCGAAGGGGCTGATTTTTACGATTCCCACTCAACCTTCGCCCTCTGGATTCCGAAGAATGGGAATTGAGAGAGAGGAAATAAAATCACTGGCGCAAAATACTCGGGATTACAGATATAGACAGCCAATGTGCGGTAGTCCTTGCAGTCATACTCGCTGGATTTAGGGTTTAATGAAGCGAGAACTTTCGAGAGGATATCGTGGAAAAAATGTGTGGAAGTTTGCCTCTACGTAAGCTTTAATTCAAACACACCATACACATCACATCAGAGTTATCCAATTTCCAATAGTGACAGTGAAAACTCGAAGATGAAAAACCGATGTGCCGTGAATGTACACGTTAAGCTATGCGGAAATTATTGATTCACGCAAGTCTATAAACTTATATGGCTTTTTTTGAAGCATTCTATCGAATATGTCATGAAAATAAGTCATTAGTTGACCTGAAAATTCATTAAATACAGTTTGATAAATTCGTAAAAAATTGCCATTAACATTCTTAATCACAAAAAACGGAGGAACTATAAAAGCAGGAAGATAAGCCCAGAATATTAATCCATTAGCTGTAAAGCGTACAACAATCAAGCGATCGCGAGTATTTTATTATTATGCTCAATTCATGTACTAAAGTTTTGATCGTTTTTTGATTTTAATCGGTTGAAGAATTCGGTTGTAAACATGCCCTTTAAACTCTACGTAAAAAGTCAAGGAGCCCGAGATTTCCTCCCGACGAGAAGTTAAGTGAGTGAAATGGGAAAGCGAAAGCTATCGTAACTGCTAATATCGAGTACACGCAGCTCGTCAGAGTCTCGAGGGCGCCATAAATTCGGTGATGGCAAGAGTCAGGTGTCCATAATCACGTCATAGTCATTTGCATAAAATTATATTTGGGTATGTGTTTATTTAGGTATGGGTCCTGGGAAATTACGCCGGCGGGCGAATGGAGATGCAGTCCCGGCAAGTTGCTGGCATTCTCACGTGCCACGGAGCGGTGGCAGTTGAGAACAGACTCACTTGCCTTTATTACTCTTGTTGCCACTTTTCACAGACGTGCCATGAGCAAGACACACTTTCCACCCCCGCCCCGTGGAGCATATTTTACGTTTCGGCGGGGAATTAAGCGGGACGCCCTGAAAGGTGAGTCGCCGGGAAATTCTTCACCTGAGCGGTGAATCCAGGGCGTCACCCTTCTCATTATCCGACAATCCGTCTGCACGGATGGCAAAATGAATTGTGTTATTAGTGAGTGAAGGCATTTGAAACTGGGATACCACTAATTCACCTCCCCAGACACATTAATTAAACTTATCCCGTGGAAAATAAGTCAATTTCGAGCCAAATACCTATTAAATCTCCCGTATTGAAGAATTGTGGCGCGGTTTTCTTGCCATTCATTATTACTTTCATTATATCATCGCTTTGGGCTGCGCTTGAAGTGATTGTGTGCTAAAGAAGAAAAAAGTCCACGAATTTTTTCTTTGACAAACTCCCGCACAATTCCTCAAATAACACGCCCTCAGACGCTCCCGGATTGACTTTGAGAAATCTTTGAGACTCTCCCGACTGCGTGTTTAGTCAATTTTACTCGTGACTGATTAAGTACACACCCCTCAATACACCTTCCTAACGACATGTCTTCAAACGAGGGAAGAACGACTGGAAAGTTTGCCACTTTTTCCCTTACTTTGTTTGAAATTCTTGCCTGCATGTCTGACGAATGAGTGATTGAGATAAAAAAAACCCGCGCTTTCTTTGCCAGCGAACGTGACATTTTGCATGTGACAAACTATCATTAATTCAAAACCTGCCACTTGAAATTCCAACGCGTGGTTTTGCATTATTTTCCACATTGAACGTCGCGCGATAAAGATGCTATTTAAATTTACATCGATTGATGTTAAAGACGCGTCTTTCAGGGGTTTATAAAATATTCATGTTAAATGGTTGTAAGCAGAGCGAAGTGGATTAAAACACTTTGAATTTGAAGAGTTTGATTGTATGTTTTAATGCGAAACCAGGGATAAATTGAATCTGTGGCCAAAGATCCATTCTGCAAAACAATATTCTATGTTTGTCAAGCGATAAACACACTCAGACTATGCTGACATAGACAAGAAATCTCTTAAGCCATGAACACTTATTCGCTCTGTTGAGGGCGCACTTTTTGCGCGCCCCAGAAAAGGGATTTTTTCAGCTGGATCCTCAAGAGGCGATACACAGAGAAATCTCTGCCGACAATAAATCAACAACACTTTTCCTCCACGCACAGTCCCTTAAGGAAATTTATGTAAATGGCATCGAGTCCGATTTCTGCAAACAATAAATAATTTTCTTTCACTTCATTCCACTAATAAAACATGGGGAGCGACAAGAGAGGAGAAAGGTAATGATAAATCGATCCCACTGACACGCAATCTAGGCTGAGAGGGGGTGGCAATGTAACAAGTTACATCATAATCTTCGTGTCTGGCTGTGTTCTTAGTCCTCGCAGGAGACTGGCTGAGAACTACGATGGGAATTTGCCTTGCGGCGCTGCCACCCACTCTTGAGCACGGCGGTATTTTTAGACGCTTTCCATAACCATCAAAATCACTTCTTCCGCCCGGGAGATTGTCTATTTGGATTTAAATCCGGCATTAATTCAGTCGAAATGACTTATTGATCCCGCAGAGCGAAAGGGTGATGAGGAGATTGTCTCAGACGTTCTGCCCATCAAGTGAAGGCGAAGGCGATCAATATGGAAGCATAACATCAGCAATTCCATCTTGAGGACATGCACCATAAAGGAAATAAATAGCCACCCTCGCGCTCGATTGTTCTCGATCTCATTCTCAAGTGCCTCTTGCGAAATATAGCCACTCTTTCTGCGTCGTTCTTCGGCAGAACACGCGCTGGAATGGCGAATTCATGGCGTGAATTTAATTGCAAAATTAACACACCGACCACACAAATTATCGGGAGGCGAGAATCGATATAAAAAGCAATTCTGCATATTTATGGGAAGTCGGGGAGAGTCTAAATAAAATCCCATGGAAATACATAAATTAGCATCCCTGCGGACACAGGATGAATAGAAAACATGCAAATAGGGCCAGAAAATACACCAGCAAAGCCGTTCATGGCCAATAGGTGGATCAGGATTAATCTGTCAGATGTGATAAGGGAGAATATTTGGCCCCAAAAATGTCCAGGATTTTTAATAATATCCAAAAATTGACATGACTGGAGATAAACAATAAATTAACAATTTGCGCCACGTTTATTAAATTGCTGAACATTCTGGAGGAGTAAAAATATATATTTCATGTTGTTCTTCTTAATCCGACAATCTAATCTCTAATATCTCGATCACAAACAACAAACAAGTATTCCAAGGATATAGATTAAGCAGATAAATCGCAAAATGGGACGAATAATGCCCCTTAAGAGTTCACCAGAGAGTACAACTGTGTGAACAAGCATTCCTTGGGGAAGTGTTTCTCAAAGAACAGATGCCACAAGTGCGGCAAGACGCATTATATGCATTATCACACTTTGCTCCGAGTAGTTGAACATCCTCAACCAATAGAGAACTTGCCAAATGGTAGCAATTGTTGTCAAATTGATTCATGTACTCTTTTCACATTACCGCCACTGAATAGAAGTGATCTTGTTTGCTGTGGAATCTGAAATCTAAACCAGAATTGCGGAGCATAATCGAGCATATTGCAGAATATCCAATTGGGGCGTCGTCAGGAGGATAAAAGCGAAGGGAATGAATTGCCAATTATTGCACAATGTTAATGTCAAAGCGGCTAATATTTGGTCACTACCAGAAGTGGTTGCTCAGCATAGGTTGGTCAGGTTCCAATCTTGCAGTTATCATGCGGAAATGATTTGCATAAACAAACATTGCTGGTGCAGCTTGAAAATTGAATTTCGCACATGATAATGAGGCGACAACACGCGTGGCAACCGCAATGTTTGCCTGAATAGACTGTTTATTGTCAACAACTCATTTCACTATTAATTTCAATTTATACCTTGATGCTCATGAAGCCGAAGATGAACTTATTATGGTTGCGTTCAAGGTGCTTCAGTTGAGAAAAGGTGTGTTTGCATTAGACTTTAATTGGGATCCAATGAACCGTCGATGGTGTGTGATTTCCCCCATTGAATCTTTCACCTTATTGAGTTTGAACTAAATTGTTTGCTGAGATCCTGCGGGGCTTTAAGTGATGATGAAACTTTCCACCTCACTGCATAGTGTTCATATTGAGTTGCACGCGCTCCCGCGAGTTACACGAGGTGATTTTGAACTTTACTCACAGCTCTGACAAAGTTGCATTGTGATCAAAGTGAAACAGATGCACCCCATATAATTTGATGAGCAATTTCCTAATTTGCTAATTTTTGCCAATTTATCACCAGAAGTTTTCGCAAGCGCGTCTCTCCTTGACATAGCATTTTCATTTTATTCCATACCTCTTGGAATGTACTTCAAGTACCATAACTATTAAGTTTCCATCCTCCATTCTTGTATCTCGGGCTTCGCATGGCACAATGAAAGGAATCTCATGAGCTGCGGGCTTCCATGCGGAAAATTTAGGTCACAATTCGACAGACTGTGAATGAGATAGTTGAGCAAATAATTTCAATGATTTCCCATTCATAATACATTCATCGCATGGAATACTTTCAACAATATTATGGTTATAGCTGACAATGCTGTCGAGCGGGGAACTTTTCACAGGGAATTGCTGAGAAAACATTCTTCACAATTTTCCTAGCAAAAAGGGACGGGAAAGTGGTAGAGCAGAGAAGATATTCTCTGTGTGAGCTCAAGGAAATCCTCAAGTCTCTCCCCTTTTCTCATTACAGGTTGTTAGAGCAGCGAGTCCAGCCCTCCTCAGAGTCATTGCTCTCGGCGCATTCTTCATCTATTGCACAGTAAGTGAAGATTTTGCCATTGAATCCGTGTTTAAACAGCCCAAGCGATGTGAGTTGATTAATTTTGACGAATGACATCCCGGTCATGATGGATTACACGGAAAAGTACTCCGGAAGCGCTGCGAGACATCGTCACAGTATTAAGAAGTTTATCGTGGCCTAAGCAAAGATCATCAGGTCTTATTTGCACAGTATGATAAATGCTTGCCGAGAAGCGACCCTCATGAAAATGGTTTCATCTCGGCCGGGGAATGTATTGGAAAGCTCTATTGTTTGTCGCACACTTAATTTCATTGTACATTTTGCCAAAAAGCTCTCTCTCTCTCTCTGATGCTTTTGTTGCGTTGGCGAAAAACATCACGAGCGCCACATAAAACATTCAATAGGTAAATTATTGCTTAAACGAATTGCGAAATACCAATTAAAAGCTCCATTTCAATGTTATATTGTGCAAATGAATGTGAATATTTTCCACTCCCACTGAATAAGCCCTTTGTGCTGTTTCCCATAATTAAAAGGACGAGCTCACTCTCTGTCTATCGATTTTCTAATTGGTCCTGGCCAGAATTGTAGAGTTGCGAGGGAGAAATAAATTGAAATGTGTGTTTTTCACCATGTTTCCTCGCGACTTCACTAATTCAGACGATGATATCTCCAAACACATTCTGCAGAGACAAGCTCTTGCAACGACTCTCTCCCATACGAAATTGTATAGAAACACAATTAAACAGAGTGAAGTACACAAATTTAAAACATGCGGGAAAACAATTCTGTACGAGCGCAAAACAGCGGAAAAAGTCACATCAAGCAACAAACGTGACCACTTCGTTGCTGTTGAAGCATTCTTTCAAATCCCAGCTCGAAATTTCACGAGCGAAAAGTGGCCAAAAAGTGCTCTCTTCTCACAATTTATTTTTCTCGCCTAAAAATAAATTGCACTTTTCGCCATATAGAGGGGAAAATGGGAGTGATATTCGTTGATAAAATCTCCCTTAGGCGGTATTAAAGGTGAATGGGAGGCTCACGCGATATTCCATTTACTCCACTTCATATTAATGGACTGTGCGCGCGCGGGGGAGGATGAAATCTTCGGTGTGGCGATAAATTATCAATATTGCCCGGCAAGGCGGCCCTTTTAACAATTTATGTACACAAACGCACCCTCAATATACACGAGGCATGCAATAATATGCCATTGACCAAATCGAAAGGGTGAGAGAGAGTTTCTTTGGCCAGGGATGCTTCGGCGGGAGGATTTGGAGCGGCACTTAATTATATTCAAATTCCCAAATTAAACACTCTATTGGCGCCGAGCTTCGGGTGAGCAGTTGATCATTAATTTTGCACCAACTGAATTATCCCACTCACCCTGTAAATTTGCTTTAATTGCACGATAAGCCCAGCCCATAAATCGCCCGGGAATATTTACGTGCGCGCCCTTTTGTTGCACATTTTTATAGTCGCGCGCGGAATGTTATATGTCTGATATTGCACAGCAGCACGGCCTGACCAGGAAGCGGATTATGTTCACTTTGCCCATATTAGCATAATGTGTTCGCACACTAATTGTTTATGACGAAGTGCTGCGTGGATTTTTTAGCATCTAGTTTATTCTCAGTTTTTTTTTTCATCCAACTGTGATGAAATAAAAGAACGTTTATCATCACGAAATTAAGCGCTGCATTTTAATTTGTAGACAAATTTCATGTTAGAAAATGCACACAAGGTGAAATTCACGTTAAGTGCGAGACACACAAGGAAAAGTTTCATAATTAAACTTTTGGACAGCTTTTCGCTAAGCAACACAGAAACTGGGGTGAACATGAGCTTCTCGGGGGATTTTTTGCACTCGGTAAAAAAAACTCAGAATTTTGCAATTATTGGAGAACATGATAAGAAAGGAGTCATTCAATGGTGTTTAATTTGTAAAAACATACTTTTTTCCGCATGAATAGAAACTATTTTAAATGTCGTGAAATGAGTTGTAGCGAGGTAAAGTTAGAACGCTGGACGAGAACAAGTAAATGCTTTATGGTGTGCTTTTGTGGCAAGTCACGGTATTTGCTCACTTTTCAAGCTGTTTTTGGCCTTTGTCGACAAAAGAGCTCTCTTAACACATTCCGCCTCCTAGAGTTTACTCTACACTCGCAACAAAGAAGTGGGTAAAGTGCTTGAGAAGAAGCTTTTCATCTATGTGTTGCAGTGTTGCAGACTGACTTAATTGTAATTTGTATAACGACGCCAAAGAAGACCTAGAAATCATTACGAATTTTAGAGCAATTCATACTTTTTTTCTCTCCGGATTTATGTGTAAATATACATATCTTAGTTGTGTGTAAATGTAAATCGCTTTAGAGACTATACAGTTGCTAATTATGGTCTGAGCGGAGTTTCACATCTGCTACGAATGGGAGAAATGGAGGCAAAGCCTGGGGAGAAGATGAATGGAAATGTGTGTCTCTGAAGGTAGATTAGGCAGGATTTCTTTATTGAAAATGATGCGGCTTTTGTGGAGAAAATCCTCCAAAGAGAGTGACAAGTGGATTAGATGGCCTTATAAGCAAATAAATTTTCATACATTTAATGGAAAGGTATTCGAAGGCACTCCATGAGCGCCGATATTATTAAATTAATCCTACATATAAATGCAAAATCATCAGTAGCTCTTTTGCTATGGTGAGGAATTTCGCAAAGTCTCGCCCACTCGAATGAACGTAGCCTAGAAAGTGGTGTAGATTTCGCAGTTCAGCCTTCGAGTGGCTGCTCGAGTTCTTGTATTCGCCATAAAGCAAGTTTGAGTATTTCGACAGTACTTTAAATTTGTTACTGAATCTCCTCGTCTACAGTATATTCACAACTTGGTCACAGCATATTGTGAACTTTTCTTGTATTCCATTTTGGAGATTATGCACTTCTTTTCCTCCCACTGCCGTCAGTGCGGCCAAAACTACCAGCAAGACTCCTCCGGGAAGCGCCCGGACGCCCTGTGAGATGTTTATGGAGATACACAAGGGGCGGGGGTGCGGCAAAGTTTGCAGAGAGTCATGTAGAAAGTTGCCGGTTCAGCCAGTCCACTTGAATTCCCACCGAAAATTGTGGATGGAATAATTTAAAGAGGGGAAATAAAATATGTATCAAGTGCATTCCACTTCCTCTGAATTATTCCTTGCAGACCATCGTGCTCTACCCGCCGCCGTCACTCTACACTTGCACAGCGCGTGTTTGGCTCCGTGAGATCGGATTCTCCCTGACGTATGGCGCTTTAATGCTCAAGACGTGGCGGTAAGTCAGCACAGACATGGCTCAAATTTACAATTTTGCTCACTTTACGATTATAACACCCACACAGCTCTCCAGCATGTGAGATTTTTATCATTTTATTGCGACAATTCTTCCTGCTCTACGGCGTCGTAAAATCACCGCAAATACACTCTCTTTTCTCTGCTTTTTCACGATTTTCACCCGTGTAGTAGTAATTTTCATGACCGTTTTTATTATAACATTGCCGTTGAGCAAACAGTGCCCACAACAAACAGTTCACTTAGAAGATTTGATCATTTTTTAAAGCAGAGAAATCAGCTTCAACAAAATGTGATTTTTTCCAAAAAATCGAAGCTTTTTGAAGCTCATGAAACTCGGAAATCCAACAAATCAGTCCCTCTTTTTGGTGTTTGAATGATTAGCAGGGAAATGTGAAATACGAGCAAAAAATTAATCCCTTTGTGGGTTGTGAAGAGGCGCGAAGCACGGTAACAATATGCAATTCCTGCCTCCTTTTATTATCAGGACTTCATGATGTTTCCCAACACAGTCCGGAAACTTATCGCACTTCTCTTTAGCTCCTCTCGCCGAAATACCAGTGAATTATCTTTGGCTGTTGTACGGCATTTCCTTGCTGTGGGAAATCATTGCAAGATTGCACATAAAATGCTCGCATCATGAGTGGGCGGAACGTGACCAGGAACGCTCTAATGGACTCTCATTGCAGGATTTCCGTGATATTTCGCGTGAGATCAGCCAAGGCGGTGAAAATCACAGATGCATCGCTGCTGAAGCGCCTGGGCATCCTCTGTGGAGCCGTTGGAGCCTTTCTGCTCATCCGCACCATCGTGGCGCCGCCGCGAGTGGTGGTGGGACGCACCACGGACGACCTGAAGGCGTACCTCTGCAAGACGGACTGGTGGGACCACACTTTCACTTCAAGTGAGTGCCGCACAGCTTAATTATTCAGCTCGCAAATCCCTCTCCTTGTGCCACGCGGCCGAGGAGATCAACTGGGCTTTTCGGCCTGCCCGAGACACTTTCCCTGTCCCATGAAAAAAAAATTATTAATGACTCTCCGTCTCTGCAGTGGAGGTGCTCTTCCTCGCCTGGGGCGTCCGGCTGTGCATCATGGTGAGAAAGGCGCCGTCAGAATTTAATGAGAGTCGCTTCATCTCAATGGCCATTTACAACGAATTCCTCTTAACGTGCTTCCTCAATGTCTCCATGTGAGTATATAAATCCTTTCCTTACTGTCAAAAAGTTTCATCGTCAGCAACAATTTACCGCGATCAATTGCACTGGGGGATTTCTTAAGTATTTCCGTTCATTCCATTTATTGCATTTTTTATCACCTACATAAAGTTCATCCGGGAAAAAGCTCTCAGCGCACAAACTTTGCAAAGTGCATTAAAGTTTTGGGATAATGCAAAATTGGTCGAACCACTTAAATTATCATAATTCGAGAGGAAAAGATATCGAAGATCTCTGCAATTTTATTCACAGGGAGCATTGAAATTGGATTTCACAGCAATAAAATTCCAAATTTACTGCCCTTTAAAGTCTATTTTTGTGTGTATGTTTTAGCAACGTGACTTTGAATGCTATTTTGAGACTATTTTAGCAGAAGTTTCCACTTGACACTCAAAGAGATTCAATCTTTCAGAGTCTTGCGTGCGCTCACCTGTTTAAATTTTCCACTTTGTCTCCACCGCTTTGTGTGGAGAGAATTAGATTTTCATGGAAGTGAAGGTCACTTAAAAATTCTTTAAGCAGAAGTAAGTCATTAAACTTTGCCATATTCAAAGTGGAGAAACTTTACACACCCTTTATTTTCGTCCCAACCGTGAGATGAACTTTAAATTACTCTGTAGTGTTTTTCCGTGAATAGAATCTCGGAAGAGTTAAAATTTTCCCTCAATTATTTCACGTATTTTGCTCAATTTCTAGCAACATCTTTAACTGAAGGTGAATCACCATGGCGCTCTCTTCAGCCAATCTCTGTCATTACATGTGATTCGCTCATTTTTCTTCCAAAGTCATCTCAGAATCCCAAAACTTCGGGCTCAACTTATCAAAACTTGCCACCCAAAATAGTTTGCAGGCAACTTTCCTCATCAACTATCCACTAATCTCCAGCCGAGAAGAGCCACTCGAAAGTTGTAAGATGTTCCATGTGAGATAATTTCTCGCTGAAACAATTGACAACTTGAGGGATCATTTTAATTGACTTTTCACTCAAGCTGTCCACGAGCACGCGAAGCTTTGGGGAAATTAAATAAAGCCTAGCTTTCCCTCGTCAAATTAGATTTCCCGATCACGGTAAAAATACACACACAACGGCTTTGACGCAGCGTCGTGAGAGATTTTCATTCCTTTTCCCAACATCGCTGCCAAATTTGTTCAAAATGTACGACGAAGAGCGGATCAAAATGAAGAAACTTTCTTCATAAATCTGTATTTTGGTCAAGGGGTGAGGAATTGAGGCAGAATTTGTTCAGTGATAAGATAACAATTCATAAAGAAGACAAACAGAAAAATGGAAAGAAGCTCCTCCCACCCAGAAGCTCCGCCCACGCAAGTTATTTTCTACGAAAACTGTTTAATTGTGAAACTTTATAATGCAGATAAAGAAAGTTAATCTAAGATATCACAAATTTGTATAACATTTAAAGTTTCAACACTTGTCAAATAATTCGCACTGTTCTGAACTAAAACCTCAATATTTCTCTCTCCTCTTCAAGATTTTCAAAGCTCGAAGGGAAAACTTTCCAAAGAAGCTGAAAACCTCTTCTATATTATGTATTTATTCTCAGAAGATTTCCCACATTATTCTTGGAAGCTTTTAGTAGGAAATTGTCAAAGGGATTTTCAAATATGCGTTCAGTTCGGAACTTCAATCTATAACTTTTGCACGCTTCGTGTGTAAAGAGCTTTTGTTCTGGGACATCTTTCTCCATAATTCCTACCCCTCTTGTACATTATTTTGCAGCCCAATAAGTTACGTATTTTCAGACTTTGCCTTATTTATTTCAGGTTGTTCCTGCAATCACCTGCTAATCCTGATTTACTCTTCATAATATTTTTCTGTCACACTCAGCTTACCGTCACGCTACTGTTGGCACTCATATTTGGCAGCAAGGTGAGTTTGTGGGGGTGGTTTTCCCTTAAAACCGTAAAATCAATATAATCGCAGCCCCTAATCTCGGCGAGTGGATGAGAGAGAGAACAAAGGCAACGTGTGGCTTGAGACTTCCGGCGTTTTGTATTAAATATTTTTCCACAGAGCGTCGCAGCGAAGAGGGGCCGAAAGTGTGGGTGCGAGTCCATAAATCGGATATTGCGGTCGCTTAATACCTTCCACATGTATCCGACGCGTTGATTCCTCAATCATGGGCGGGTGAGCTTTGCACTTGGCGCACAAAAGTTCATTCTCCAGGAAATTGAAAGGCCACGAAAATAGTGCTCAACTTTCGAAGCGTATAAATCACTGTCCGCCCCGACAAACGCTCAATTTATTCCTGCTCACTGAGTTTTTGTTGCTTCTCAACACTTCCGCCACAGTCTGCAAATGCAAATCATAAATCAGAATCAACTTGTTCGGATCTCATTTCACCTTCAGATACTCCACGGCGTGACACTTGTGGGTTGGGCCGAATTAATCACCCCAAGTTTCGGCCGATTGGCCGAGAAGTAGTGGCAATCTTGCAATATTTATTGACTCCAACGCTGAGTCTGGTCTAATTTAAGACCTCATTCGTTTGCCCAGGCCATGAATCCATGGCAAATTAACTTTCTTAAGCGAAGCTCGACTATTGATTTCTCGCTTTTGAGCAAATTCTGTGAAACTGCAAGAGAATCGTCGAGTTTCTTGAACAGTGAAATTCATACACAACTCTCGAAATGGTCAGAATTTAATGGGTGAGTGAAATACAAATATGCATTTTCAAATTGAGTCTCAAACTTCGAGAGCTCTTGTCATGAACTTAGTGTTGAAGTTTATGATTAAGAATGGACTCAGTAAAATTCATTAAGTTCGTATTCAATTCAGTTTCTCTTCATTAAGCACAGAGAGAGAGAGCAATTATTTTTCAATAAAGACTCTTGAAGAGGGAAATTACCCGCTTGAGAGAAACTAGTTTTCACGGCGTGAAAGACTAGCCTTGTGGCGACCTCTTGTGAGTCAATTGATGACCTGCACTCGTGGGTTTAGATCGTTCGCGCCAGATTACACTTTCAACTTAAAAGTATGATAAATAAACTCTGCATCAATTTTCGTGAAGTCAATGTAATACATTCAAAAACTTTCACTCCATTATCCCGACAAACACGCGAAACTTCCTTCTTTGTGCCATAGTTTTCCCATCGCGCGTCTTTTCGTGCCAATAGCAAAATGCCAATACATTGAATCAGAGAATTTGACGGCGTCTAAAAGTCAGGATGAAATGACGGCGTGTGCTCGTTGAGTGAGAGCTGTTGCAGAAAGTTGAGCTCTGTTTTGATGTCATGTCATGGCCAAAAAGGATAACACGAGGAAGATTGTCTGTCGGAGAAACTTGTGTCGTGTCCTTAAAGAATTTTAACGAGAAGGGAATGAAAACATGCGAACAGCATATTTCCACTCAGTCACACTGTGTTAGAAATAATTCCGCCACTATGTGAAGAAGGCGAAAGTGCAAAAACTTTCCAACATGTCAACACCATTCGTCGTCTTCCGCCGAAGTGTCTCTCAGCGCGTCGAAAATATGCCCCGAGAGCGTAATTAGAGGCGGAAGATCCTTGACGTGCGTTTGCCCGCCCACGCGGTCGCCCTGATTATCTCCTGCTCCCTAATCGCATAAATATTCCTCCTGACAGGTGTACCTCGTGTTTCGGGGCGGTGGCAAGCCGGAGGATTCAATTGGCCTGGGAACCAAGCCGTCGGGCGCTAAATTTATTTGTCGCTCCCAAGGGCGGACGCTCGCCAACGCCAGCACCGCCACGTCCTCGACTGCCCAGCTCGCCCTGCACGCCGGTAAGTGACGATTGCACTTGTCCATTGCCATTAATTCACCCGGGAAAAGACGCACTTCAACCAGACAAATTGAACTGAATATCATCCAATTGAATGCCTTCTCACACCCCATAAATGTGGTGGAATTGCATGAGAGTTCTGAGGCTGAGATCGAGACTTATCTAATTCGTCTAAGCAATTAAAAGTCTGTAAGGACAAGAGCCATAAACTGTCCAGAATTATGTTGCGGAGACTCTGCAGGAGACACCGTAGAAGAGCTATAAGATTAACACTTGATACCTAATATCGGGTGGAAATATAGTAGTTGTTTTTGTCTTCTGAACATTGATTATGTGTAAGAAACCAATATTCACACATTCAACGTATTCTTTACGAGATAATTTAAAGCGTGTTTATATCAACACACCAAGTATTTGTTTGAACGATCTCAGCTGCAATATTTACCATTTTCCAAGGAAAGCGTGAGCAAGAGCTTTCAAATATATCACAAATTCAGTATACAGAGAAGAGGAAAGACTCCCAAGTTTGCGTCAAGAGCAAAAAAGGCAATTGTTTTTGAAATAATAATTCCCCGAAGAGATTGTGTTTCCCCTGCACGTGCGCCCGAAAGTACCTTTGTATTTCCCACAACAGAGTTTCCGAGTTGGAGATTCAATTTAGTATGGGAAAGACGACACTGTGTGCGCTCTGAGCTGTTGTCTCAAGTGCCCTATATCATGTTTCTCTCCTTGCCGCAGCCCACGAGGGTCGTCTGACTGAGCAGGAGGCGCTGGAGGAGATCAAGCACCTGTGCAGCGAGCTGCAGCGCGTCCAGGAGCGGGCACCGCCGCGAGGAGTGGCCGTGGCCACGATCGCCACACTCCTGGAGTCCCTGCGCTGCTCCCATCCGCCCACGCTGCGGCCGCCGGGCCATGCGGCCAGGGCGCTGGAAGCGGGACACGCGGACAAGGCCACGAACACGCTGAGTGTGGAGGAGAGTCACTGGTACCACGAGAGCAACGGCGGCGCGCGGATCGTGCTGACGGAGGCGGAGGACAAGGAGAGCCTGAAGAAGCTGCGGAAGTGCCTGGAGGAGTGTCCGACACTGGCCGCGGCGCCCAACAGCGTCCGTCCGCCGGCGCGGCCCAATCTCAACGGCATGGAGAGCCTCAGCATCGACGTTGAGTCGAAGAGCTGCGACCTGGACTTCGCCGAGCTGCAGCTGGAGTGCATGTGCAGCTCCGACAGCGTTGCGGACTCGCCCACGCTGCGGCAGAACCCAGACGGAGCGCCGGAGACGCATTCCGAGCACGTGCGCGACGCACAAAACTGTGGCTGTGATGCTGAGGTCTGCTGCAAGTGTCGCGAGGGCGTGAGCAGCAGCTCGAGGAGCACAACCAGCGGCAAGGCGCGCCAGAGCACCTCCGAGTCGCCCTCCACGGCCGACGAGAAGACGCTCAATGAGGAGGGCGAGGAGGAGAAGGGCATCCGGCGCACCAAGTCCACAGACTCGTCCAAGCTCATCCTCGACCTCAACGACCGGTCCAAGTTCACCAAGGAAGTGTCCGTGTGAGAGTGTCACGTTCTTGGCCACTGCCAGGCAATCACGGTTTAGCAAATTGCCATCTGCAACCATCGCAAAAGGCTCCAGTGCTACAGTACCTGACACAAGTGTCGCCACGCGCTCAAGAAATGGTAGGAAATTGTCGGTTTTAATAATAAGTTGAACTTTAAGACAAATGTCTTCCGTTGGAAAAGCATTTTTAAGTTATCTGGTTTCCTGAGAGAATTTTATAAATTAAAAGTTAGTCACTATAGTTATTGATAGAATTTATAGGTTGTTGAATTGAAGTTACTTTATTTTAGAGGGAGAATTTCTTTAAAGCTCCTGGAAAGTTCCAAAATCATGGCTTTATTTGAAATGCCATCATGAAGCTGGCTTTTGAAAAGAACCTATCCAAAATGATGGCTTTTTCAGTAGATTTTCCAATATGCGCTATTTGTGTTACTTTTTATTTGCAAGTTCAGCACGATTTTAACCCAAAACGCACAATCAACATTTATTCTTTTCCTCATTGTTAGGATAAAATTTTGTCACGTCAAATTTCGTTTTATCACCTTTTCAAATGGCCATAAAAATTCTCCCTCTAGTGTGTACAACACAACAGAAAAATATTTTCGGATTGGACGTGCTCCTAATTGCGCAGTCAGGCACTGTTCGTCGGTAGTTAGGAAGTTCTGTGCCATCATTAAGCCAATATGCAGACTGCATATCAATAAAATTTTAGTCGAAAAGCATGCAAATGACGCCACTTCAGCCAGGGTTGCTCTCAATGTGTAAATGGGAGGCGTGATAAACTCGAGCTACACTGTGAAACATGTCATTAGAAATTGAGTGATAATAGAATGCGAGTTTATGTTAAATTGTCTGAGCTTGACAGTGCGCTAAGTAGTTTCCCCATCTTTCTGGGGGGCACAAAATCACACTCCAATTGACGAATTCAATGTCGGTTTCTTGACATCAAGAGCAGAAATTTCGCTTTAAAGATACACATTTGTGAAATGTGAGAGAGAAAAGAGGGAATTGTTGTCTCGTCTTGTTTAGATGATAAGAGAAGAGAAAATTTAGTGCGGTGTTGAGATTCGGAATTCTCAGAAGAAGTAATTTCTGTGATTATATTTTTAAGATGAAAAAAAAGAAAAAAGTACACTTAATGGTTTTATCTTCAGATTAGCTATAATGTAAATAAACTTGTAATTGATAGTGTGTCGTATGAAAATTGGATATTATTAAGGGAAATTTTGTAAATAGTAGAGAAACAAATCAGCATTAATTGAGGCCATAGGATTAATTAATGTTTTAAGGTGAAACTTGGTCTTAAGGCAATTTGTAAATATTTCTTTTTCGTCATCAACTCAGAGGGTGACAAAGGACTTGAATTGCCTTGAACTTGCCTCAACCAAATGAGCCCCTAATAAATCGCAAGCGCAAGTCAATGAAATATCCTTTTTCACCCGCACGATAAGGAAGAGAAATGGTTAATGGTAATTAGGCAGAAAAAATGTAAATTTATTGGCACAAGGTATTTCCATAGGTGAGAATTCAATAGCTAAGTAAGAAAAGAGATCGTACCAATTAAGAGGAGCAAAAGGAAAGCAAGAGAACAAAGTATTAAGGAGATTGCAATCGGGAGAAACGAAATCAAATAAATAGCTCTTTAACGAGTAGTTCAAGTTATTATTATTATTGTTAATATTTAGCCAGAGAGGAAGAGGGGAAGTTATGTTTTGGGTTGTACAAAAGGGCGAGGAAAGCTTAACATATCCAATGAGTGTTATCGGTGAAGACGCAGAAACAGAAAATGGAGAACAGCCAGTTCATTTCCTTTTCCTCATCCTAACTTTATTATCGATTATGGGAAAATTGGAAGCATTTATATCGTGCATGAGGACGGGGAAAATGCCACTTGGGAGTTAAATTGAGCAGAAGGGCGAGGAAAACTATTGTGAAATTTATGATAATTGTTTGCAAAAATGGTATTGTAATAGTTTCCATGCAGTGAAGAAAGTTTCCAGCGATGAAAATGGGGATAACGAGTTGAGGATACAACTTTAATGTGACAAAAAAATGTTGGGAGGGTAAAATTGATTGAATAAAAGTGAAATATGCCGAAAATTGTGTGCCCTCACTCTCGGAAGGAAATTGCCATGATTCGATTTATCGGGTGTAAAATTGCACGCAGAGGCAAAGTCTTGATGCCCTGGACGTGAACTTTTCTCCATCACAATCTAATTATCTCCCGCATTGGGGAGCATATGGCTGTGTATCGGGGGCGAGTGGGCAAAAAAGCCGCCCTGTGAATGATGTTCTGGCAAGTGGAGGAAATCGTGTTAATCGCTTCACCATCAAAAATCAATTGGCCTGCGCCATGAACCCTGAATCTCAATCCCCATCAGATTAGCCAGGATGGATAATAAAATCTCAGCACAAAATCACGCAATTCGTCATTGAGCGCGCCTCAAGAATAAACGCTAAGCACGCACTTGCGACTCTCGCGCCTAATCCGCACTGATTAATTCCGTTGAGTCAACCTTTGACACCTCCAGAGAGAGAGAGAGAGTCGAGCAACCAAAGGCCAAAGCTCTGCGAAATGCAAATATTGACAGGCCCGAGCGTTCCATTTGATCCCTCATTTAATTTTACAATCAATTAATCACCCTTCGCTCACTTCCCGCAGCCGATGTCAGTGCGCTTGGCAGGAGGCAAGAATTATTACGGTCATTTACAATTACATCCCCTTCAATACTGACTTTCGGTGATTCTGATATGTACTCTGTGATTGATTTCCTTCTGCTCCAACTCTTTTCCCATCATCGCAAGGGAGCGAGCTTGATGAAATGCGCCCCGAGGCCTAATGAAGCATCTTCGAGGAACTTTCTCTTCGTCAGTGAGAAAGGTAAGTTTGTGGAACATTTTGAGGCCAACGAGTGGCATTTTAATTGCTGATTTGAGAAGGCAAAAAAATGGTAGGAAAATTTCAAATCAAGCTGAAAAAGAATTTGGAGGAATTTTTATCTTAATGTGTAGCGGAAAACGAGAAACTTTCTTTCAATCAGAAGCAATTGTTCACCCAATTTTGTATCAGACTAACATTGGAAGTTTGAATCACCTCCTTAGCAAAATCCTACGAAGAACTTTTCAATAGTTTTAATACGATTTTATCTGCAATTAGTTTCAAAATCTTCAAGTACATATAATTTTCCTTATATATCAAGTTATATATTGATGTTTTATGTAAGAAAATTAAAGCTGAAGATTTCCACCACAATTATTCTCTAATTAAGTATTCTTTGATGCATACATAAATTGCCACGAACAATGACAACCATAGAGACTGACGAGGGTTAATATCACATTTCCACGCCACTGAATGTGTTGTTTGCATTGAGAATCTAACGTGAAGATGCAAATCCGTGTGCACACTTCCAAAAACACCTGAGGCCGATTCCGGTGCAGGAAAATACGATTATTGGAGCTTCAATGCGATGAGGACAAATGGAATTCCGCCATTTTTCCACATGATCCATTGAAATATCCTCTCACAATGTTTGCCATTATCTTGCGGCATTCCCTGATGCCCATTGAAACTGTCGATGGAGGCATGAATAATGTCGCATTGTCAGCGAATTCCAGAGCTTTCCCGCGCGGCCTTTCATCACAGAGAGCGCGTGAATGGCTTGAATTTGTAAACAGATAATTCAATAATTTGCTCAACTGAGCGCTGCTTTCCGGTATTTCTGCACAAGTGAAAGGGAGACATTTGCGAATCGCGAGCGTGGAAAAGGTGTGAAAGCGCAGAGACTTTTGGCGTTCTTTTGATGTCGAGAGACCATCTCAAGATGCTCTGGATGATTATTAAAATTCCGCCGAAGGCAGAAGAAAAGGGCTTCTGTATGTAAATTCCGAGAGACTGGCAATCGAGTGGATAAAAGCACTCCAGCTGCCAGTCTCCCGTGGGGCGTCGCCGAGGAGGGGCGCGCGGACTAATAATGAAATGGAGAAATGAGGGACTTTGGGCCGCGGAAGTGTCATCATCGTCAATGCGATGGGGTGGCACTTGGGAAAATGAATTCCTCGCTGTCGTTCAGACGAGGGAATATGGTGATGCTGTGATTGCAACGTAAACTGGCAAGTTAATAAATTAAAAGTCACTCTTGTCTCTCATTCCCATCGTTCGTGATTCGCCTTCGACACAATCTTCAGTGCGCTGCCGAAGCGTCATGCTGAGTCCTTTATGAGAGAACTTTCATGAAAGCTATCTCGTGTTTTCAATAAAGTTTCCCTCTTGCCGGGTGAGCGCAACTTAAAGCACATTCCACACCCTCTTCCTATCGGCTTCCGCATTGGGGACGCTCCCTCTCTCTCTGCCGAGGATTGTATTCAGGAAATGACTTACACAACACAATAAAAGTGAACATCGCATTATTTACTTAACTGCGTCGTCGACGAAGGCTCTGCGACCTGGGCAGCATCACTGGGGGTTGTTTGTCATGCCACCGCATCGGAACCCCTTCGCAGCCCCGTCGAAAGCTCACCACTAGTTCTGTCCGTCCCGAGGGAGGAGAGCTTTCGCTCCAGTCATTTGAGACTAAAAAATATTTACAGTTCCTCCTCACAGCGTCGCACGAAAGCTCCCAAGTGGCTTTTAATGCTTCCCTGACTTGCTGTCTATCTTTCAACTCTCACAAAGGCGCCGTACCAGCAAAGAGCACGTCACCGCATCCCCTCAAGCTCAGCAAGGGGGAAATACAATGCTCGAAAGTGAATGAGCTTATAAGTGCTTTTTTCCAAAAAAAATTAGCATTATTTCTCAGATTTCTTTTAATTTTTACATTGAAGAATTTCTTTTCAATGTGTTTTTGACTTATGTGATTAATTTAATTTTATTCCCGAACTTAAAAACTGTTATCATTGCTAGAATAAACCATTTTAATGCAGTAAAGGTTGCAATGTTGGGTTAAGGGGTGTTAGAAGTGGGTGTTTAAGTTGATTCCAAGTGGAAAGATAAGAAA